TGTGTGTGAGAGAGTGTGTGTGTGTGTGTGTGTGTGTTTATGCTCAAGCATGTGTGACACAGTCTCTGTGGATTCACACAACAGCACTTCAGTTAAAAAGCAGCTAAGAATTCAACAACTTTTCCAAATTTGTCCAAGTTGCTGTTTCAGTGTTCTGACCTTTGTGTCGGTGCAGTTCCTCTCGGTGCTCTCGATCTGCGCTGCGATGACACGGGACGTCCAGTGCGCGAGCCAGAAGTCAATGGCGACCATCAGCGAGTGTTTGGACAGCTGCGAGAGGACGAGCAGCGGCAGCAGCAGCAGACCCGCGGCGCGCAGGTACGTGGCAAACGAGCTCCAGGGGATAGTGGTCCTGTGACGCAGCTCCGCCCTGAGGCTGTCCTCATCGGTGCTGGTGGAACTCTCTGCAAACACAACCAAACACCATCCAATCTCATTGTGGAGGAGGTTAAGCAGAGTTCAGCCTGTTCATTCCACTGAGTGCACTCAGATCAGCCGGAATGAATTACATGAAGGAGAAGTGTGTCATTTTGGAAGTGCATTCTGTTGTTTGAGTAGTTCTGAGTGTGGGAAAAACAAACACGCTGAATAACTGTAGTGGTTTATTAATTTCCGTGCACTCATGCGTGGGGTCAGGTAGAGAAACGAGGAGAAGTTGCATCAGTTTCTCTGAACGCTTCATGCATTTCATGCATCTGAGACTTAAGCGGAGCACATTATCATGTGCAGGAAAATTATGCAGGACGGCTCTACGTTCACAATGTTAATGTGATAACTCCAGCTCACAGGAGCGTAGTGAATGTTGTGTGTGCTGTATTGTTGTGTATGTGTTACGTAAGACTAGCTACTATAATGGCTTCACTGTGTTTCTAACATCCTCGGGCTGCATGCTATTCATCAGAGGATTCATGCCGTCGAGTCCAGACCTTTGACTTTACTAACAGTGAGATCAGCAGCTGGATGAAGTCCACACACGGGAAGCCATCATAGATATGAAGACAAGAACATCAGAGTCACACTGCAGCACTGAAGACAAACGCAGAGCATCACAGATACGACGATGTTTTGCAACTGTTACAGGACAACCTGCTGTCAGGTGTTATAGAGCATAACCCTGTATGGCTAGCATTTCTATTAGAAATGTATATATGCAAGCACTGACACTGAGTTTCATGTTTGGATGAAGGAGATGTTTTACCTTCGTCCTCGTCCTCGGTGGCCAGAGTATCTGTAGAGTACATGGCCCGCCTGAAACTCTTCCTCTTCAGTTCTGTGGTGTTCTCCTGTGGAAATTTAGCAATACTCCATTAGTCAAATATAGCCCTAACAACTTATGTAAGTAAATATATATATTTTTTAATTTATTCATTCATTTTTTTTATTTTAGAAGAACATCATAGCAAAGACGTATGCTTATAAATTAATTAATTAATTAAAAAAAATATTTATTTAATGGTTTATTTTAGAAGAACATCATATCAAAGCATTTTAATAAATAAATAATTTCAAAAATATTTAATGATTAATTTATTTTAGAAGATCATCATATCATAGAAAAAATATAAATAAATGACTCATTTAAAAAAAAGATTTATTTATTTATTTATTTTAGAAGAACACAATATCAAATAAGTATTGTTATTAAAAAAAATAGAAAAATGTTATATAGTATATGTAAATTTATTTTACAAGATCATCATATCAAGGAAATATTTTTATAAATAAATAAATGTATTTAAAAATATTTATGTATTTATTTTAAAAGAACATCTATCAAACAATAATTTTTATAAATAAATAAATCAAATTAAATATTAAATATTTATTTAGTAAATTATTTTATTTAAGAACATTACTTCAAATAAGCTTTTTATTTTATTTTATTTTTTTACTTTGTCCTGTCTGTTCATCAGGGTTCTCCACTGTTCAAACAGTTCAGGTTCGGCACACTGGATGTCCTTTAAGGTCCCTTGTGTCTGCACCGTCCCATCCCGCATGGCTATAATCTACAGGACCGATATAATGAAAGCACATTTTACAAGACTGGCAAACAAATGACATGAGTTTGATCCCTAGCCAACACACTAATGATAATATGAACACCGTAGATGCTGTCTAAAATGACAAAATGTTTGATATAATTAATGCATCAATGTGAATGTATGACAAGCCATTTCTCTACCCATATTCAACTTTTTGTTCCATGCAGGCCGACTTGTGAAATGACTGCACAGTGTTAAAAGCCCATACCCAGTCTGCATGAGGTAAATACTGCAGTTTGTGAGTGACCAACACGACGGTCCTCTTCTCCTGCCGAAGTAACTTGAGGATTCCTTCATGCATGAGGTGATCGCTGAGGTGAATGTCCAGAGCTGAAAACGGATCGTCCTGAAAGCACAAATGAAGGTGCTCCTGATATACGAACAGGGCTGCTGAATGTGTGGATGATGAAGCTCAACATTGGTCTGAACTCACCAGGAAAACCACATTAGTCTGCTGATAAAGAGCTTGAGCCACGCTGATCCGCTGCCGCTGGCCGCCGGACAGAATGATGCCCTGCAGCACAGAGACACAGCAATGACTGAGACTCTCACAGACACGCAGAACATGCACTCTGCTCAGTTTGTGCTGTAATAATGATAACTCACGTGACATACCCTCTCTCCGATCACCGTCTGGTCTCCCTGCGGCAGCGTGTCGATATCTGGCTGCAGCTGACAAACCTCAATCACCTCCTTATATCTGAGGAGAGGCCAGGAACAAACTAATTAAAAAATAGTAAATAGTAAAACTTTTTTTAAAAGGTTTAAAAATGTAACTCTCAATTAAACCTTCAGACAGTTTATTTCTTTGTAATTATTTGTGAAATTTACTAACAATTTCTGAGTGAAAATTTTTTGGAAGTAAATTCTTTACCATTTTTTATTAAGTAATAATATAAATAATATCAAATTATGGTAGCAAGAACATTGTGATATTGCAAATCAAGGCTGCATATATTAAAATAAATATTAACTAGCTTCGACAGCAAGATGTATTTGGTTAAGTATTGTTTAAAAATAAAAATAAAAGAAACTAAAATACCATTTAAAAAAAACATTTTAATTACTTGAAACAAAATAAACATTAACAGAAATAAGATCAAATATAAAGCAACTTAAACGTATTTTATTTCAGCTAGTTGCTAAGGCAACATTTCTCATTTTTGATTAGTTTAAGTTGAAGTAGTTAAATAACTAAGACTAAATAATCAAAAAAATAAGAAAACTATATAGACATATAAAAACCTATTAGAAATGCCAAAAAAACACAACAAAATTACTAAAACTTTAACTAAAATTTAAATTGAAACAAAAATAAAACCTAATTAAAAATATTACGAAAAACGTCTCAGTTACACATGTAACCCCCGTTCCCTGAAGGAGGGAATGGAGACGTCACGTTGGAACGTACCGACGAATTGGGATCTCGCCTGAGAGCCCTATCATCTTCGAGTGTAAACTAAACGAGCCGATGCATATTGGTGTGCGAGATTTGCATCTCGTGCTCCGCCCCGGAGTGCGGGTATAAATACAGAAGCGGGTGCAACGCATATTCAGGTTTTCGCTGAGGAGCTGAGCCAGTGACCCGGCGCCCCGCGGTGGTACAGCAACTGTGACAACGGGACGTGACGTCTCCGTTCCTTCCTTCGTATCGACGAATTGGGATCCCTAAAAAAGCGCCACTATTGCTGCCCCTTCCAGCGCCCCTAGTAAGCCACCTGATCCTCCCGCGGCAACTGGGGCAGAAGATAGGACAGGGCTTACGTGGAGAGAGTCTATTACTGTTGTTCCTCTTGACCCACACAGTAAGACTTATTGGATAACACTGGGAAAGCGTGCCCTTTCCAGGGACGCTGCAGAATCCACATCCTGCTCGCAGGGAGGTATCATGTGGAGATTACACATATTGGAAGCGAGACACAAGCAGTCTCTCTGTGTTTACTGGCTACTCAAGGTGAGAGGACACTGGCTTGGAGCCAACCTCTGCTTGGAGACAGCCATTCTCTTCTGCTGGCCTCCGTAACAGACGAAGAGCTGCTCTGAGGTCCTGAAGCTCTGCGTTCGGTCCACGTATAGGCATAAAGCATGAACCGGACAAAGCAAAGCTAGGGCTGAATCTGCCTCCTCCGAGGGCAGCGCTTGCAGGTTCCCCACCTGGTCCCTGAAAGGTGTGGTGGGAACCTTGGGCACATATCCGGGCCGGGGTCTCAGAATAACGTGAGAGTCGGCCGGCTCGAATTCCATTCATTCGTTGACTAAAAATGCATGCAGGTCCCCTACCCTCTTGATGGAAGCCAGCGCAGTTAAGAGCACTGTCTTTATTGACAAAGTTCTCAGCTCTACGGACTGCAATGGCTCAAAAAGGGCCCTCTGCAGTGCCGTTAGCACCAGAGGGAGATCCCAAGAGGGTACGGGGTTAGGACGAGGAGGATTCAGTCTTCAGGATTCAAGTCATGCTTCCCCAAAGACTCACCGTCTTCAGGATCGTGATGTGCGGCAATCGCGGGCAACATACACTTTTAGGGTGAAGGAAGACAGCATTCGCTCCAACCCCTCCTGGAGGAAGGAAAGCACAGCTCTGATCGGGCATGTCCGAGGGTCTTCCCGGTGAGAAGAGCACCATTCAATAAGCATGCCTCGTAGAGGGTTCTCTTGCTGAAGTGATGGTGTCTACCACCGCCTGGGGTAGATCACCTAGGACCTCCGCATTCTGTCTAGGGACCACACGTGGAGGTTCCACAGATATGGACGCGGGTGCCAGAGGGTGCCCCGTCTCTGAGAAAGTAGATCAAAGTAGAATCAAAGTGTTCATTGACAAGCTACACAAAATCACGTTCAAAATCGACAATGAATCGCCCATGAACCCAAGTGGAGTCTGGGTGTGTGGTGCAACACTTACCTGGCTCCACGGTTGGGCAGGGGGGTGCGGGAGAAGGCATAGCGTACTCAAACCGGGCCCTGCTGCCAGCTGGCGATAGAAGAGGGGGATAAGGCTGGCAAGGCATAGAATGACACAACGTCATCTGCACCCTCTTTGAACCCAGAGATAGTGGAAACTTCTCTTCTTTTAATGGTTTGGGAACAAAAAGAAAAGGAAACTAAATATTCTCCACCTGGCCCTCCTCCGGGGAGGGAGTGGTGCGGCCACCATCTCCCGAAGTGCTGTCCCTTCCATCTCTGGATTGCCCGTATCAGGGCCGCTTGCTTAAAAAAAACCCATCTGGTTTTGCGGGGGCTTGGACGGGCGGCGCCACACCCCTGCGGCCAGCTCCCCGCTGTGGCCTAGGTGGACACTGCTGCTGAGGCTGTGCGGGGGTGGAGGAAGCCGCGGGCCGCCGGGGCAGGATGTGCTTGATAGCCTCCGTCTGCTTCTGGGCAGCCGAGAACTTGGGCAAAGCTCTCGACTGCATCGCCGAAGAGGCCAGCCTGGGAGATAGGGGAGTCGAGAAAGCTATATTTGTCAGTCTCCCGCATATCCGCCAGGTTCAGCCAGAGATGGTGTTCCTGGACCACCAACGTGGCTATCGTCTGACCAAGGCAGCACGCAGTGACGAATTCCAGAATCGGATACTTAAGGTCAGGAATTGGATACTTGTTGTAAAATTAAATTTTAATTCCATCTATCAATTCCTGTGTGTGCATCTTTTTTTTTTTTTAGATGGCAAAAAGGGGCTGTTAAAAATGTATTTGTCTTTGAATCATTCAAGAGATTCATTCAAAAACACTGATTTATCCAGTAATGAAACAAGTTAATCTTGTCTCAATTTATTCCGAATCGTGCAGCTCTATTTTGCACACAAACAGCTCTTAATCGTGTCCAGTTTTTATGTAAATGTTTAGCAAAAAGAGACACAGAATAAATATGTTTAATCTCTAAATGTTTGACTTCATTTTTTTAACCACATTGGAATCAAAACTGAGAATCGATAAGAATCGGAATCGGAATTGGAATTGATAAAATTCAAATGATAACCAACCCTACTCGTAAGGCGAGGTCCGTCTCTGTGTGCAGCTCCTGCATCAGCCCTGGGTCAGAACTACCCTCGTGCAACTCCTTTAGTGCCTTGGCCTGGTATACCTGCAGGAGTGCCATGGCGTGCAGGGTGGAGGCAGCCTGTCCAGTGGCTCCGTAAACCTTGGCCGTAAGAACGGACGAGAACTTACAGGCCTTGGATGGGAGATGCGGGTTACCCCTCCAGGTGGAAGCGCTCCTTGGACACAATTGCAATAGGCAACGCAGTCGAGTCCTCATTCCCAGACTCCGGCTCACCCTCCGATGTCGCAATCGACATTTGGTCATCCGTCACACCAACACCAGCTGAAGAAGCCTCTTTCCAGAGCGCTCATAGACTCATTCAGAATCCTCTTTGGACGATAGGCAGAGCAGAACAATAGAGCTGCTCGGCTCCGAAGCGAAAAGCTGAGTGTGTGTTGCACCCGCTTCCGCATTTTTAACCGTGCTGCGTGGCGGAGTGCGACATGCAAATCTTGCACGCCAATATGCATTGGCTGGTTTAGTTTACACTCTAAGATGATAGGGCTCTCAGGCGAGATCCCAATTCGTTGGTACGCTCCAACGTGACGTCGAACGTGACCGACTGAAAGGGAACTACAATGGTATGTTAACGATAGTAAAATAACACTGCATCAAACTGCATAAACCAGCATGTTTCTGAATGCAGAAATGTGACGGCCAGCATTAAACGACAGATCCTGCCAGTTACTGAAGGAGAATCTGCAGCACAGCTACTCTTACATAACAGCAAAGCCTCATGGACGAACTGTGATTTTTGTTTTCCACTGACAGAACTGGGAATCACATTGAGATGCCACTGTTTTTTCCCGGTCAGTTCTTTGTAAGGCAGATAAAAGCACTTTGCTGTGGCCTCTGGGACAGCAGCAGGATAATTGTGTTTGTGCAGAGTCGTGTGAGGAGTGTCTCATCCGCACGCATCTCTCACACGACTGAACACGCGGGAATCAGGACAGCGACAGCTCACGTGAGGGAATCACGGGGCCATTTTACCTCTTCTCATTGGGGACCATGTCAAACAAGATGTTCTCCTCCACCGTAGCGTTCAAGAGCCACGGCCTCTGGGAGGCGTACGCCACCGAACCTCTCTTCCTGAAAACACAAGCAGTGAGGATACTGTGCAGCTGATAAAGTATAAAACAGAGGATCAGGACAGAGTGAATTTAAAATAATCATTTAATTACTTGAGGGACTGTCTTCCACTCATATACTGGGCTCTGTAAGACAAAAAAGATAAATTATTGTAATGAATAAATACAGAAATTATATATATATATATATATATATATATCATACACACCAGTGAAGCTGAGAGAGAGAGAGAGAGCATTACATAAGAGTGCGACTCACTATGAGAACAGCAGCGATTGGGATGGCAGCATTCATGAAGACTGAGGACAAAAATGAAAGAAATAACTGCATTTTTAATTGATTTACATACAAACGCAATAAAATAAATGCTATAATTTAAATGTATTGATATTTATACTTTCATGCATGAAATCATTTAATTATAACATTGATTGAAGCATTTTTGTAGCTGCTTTGAAACAAGATGTACTGTGAACCTTTTGTACTTTTATGATGAGCAATTT